CTGATGTAAAGGAACTTTTATACTATCCAGTTCATATAATCATGAAGCAGAAAATCTTTAAGGAAGATCAGAAAGGAATCAAATAAACCAACCGTCCAAGGTTTTGTTTGTTTTATTTATTTATTTATCTATTTATTTATTTTTGGCAAGGCAACTGGGGTTAAGTGACTGACCCAGGGTCACATAGCTAGTAAACGTCAAGTGTCTGGTCTGAGACCAGCTTTGAACTCAGGTCCTCCTGAGTGCAGAGACTCCAGAGTCGGTGCTCCATCCACTGCACCACCTAGCTGCTCCTCCAAGGTTTTATCTTACTGCCTATATCTGACAATTATTTGACAGAAAAATGTGGGGGCTGGGCGGAAGAAGTACAAGTTTAAGTATTCAACAAGCTGAATTAAGATATTGATTGGGAAGTTAGAGTCAGTCTTTTCAGAGACAGGAAATATCAGTGAGTCAATCAAATATAACATAATCTGAGGGATGCCAGTCACTACCTGTCCAGACTTCACTGAAGAGACGATTAGAGTTGATCTGCTGTGGTGGTTTTGGGAGAATAATGGAGGAAAAGGGTCAGTGTTGAAATTACACCACAGCTTAGCCATATCTCTGACCTCTTCCCTCCTACAGCCAACCATCTATTCATACAATTAGCAGTTTTCCACTCATTCTAGCGATATGCATCTTCCAAACCCTTTAACTACATACTGGAATCCATAAACACTAGTCTGGAGGATCTGAAGGAATAAAATACTATGAGTATAAAGAAAAGATAAAAGAAATTTGGAAGCAAATTGAGGAATCCCTCAAGATAGAAACCAGAAGAACCCCACAACACAGAAAAACCTGCTCCCAACTACTTCAAATCCTTTATTTCCTGGGAAAAAACAGACATGTAGATGGCTAATAAGCAAAAACCAAGAGAACTCTGAGGCAAGGCAGGCTATCCAAATAAGCATATCAAACAATTTTATGACTCCAACAGCACATTTTATTATTTTTCAGTGGCATAGTAGTGTCTTTGTGGTATTGTTGTGAGACTGCCATGGTCATTTTACTTTCTTGATATGTTAGCAAAGAATTTTAGTACAAATATAAATAATTTAATATTTTTTCCTATTATAGTTATGATTGAGTATGAGGACTACAGATTTTAGTTTTAAATATGTAGTCCTACAGGAACATAGCCTCTTTTAATATATATTTAAATTATTGTTAATAGCTGATATTTAAATTAGTAAAGTTTCCAAAACACTATAATCTCATTTCACCTTCACAACAATCCTATGAATAAACACATTCAATATGAGTGAATATGGGTCTGGTCTTATCCCTTATTTCAGAAATAAGGGAGCTGAGGCTAAGGTTAAGTGACTTGCTCACATAACAAAGATAGTGTCAGAAGCAGATTTCTCCTGATGATAAATCCAGCACTCTTTAACTTTTTGTTCACCCCAAGTAGAAAGAAGATTAAAAGAAAGCACTTCATCCTGAGATTTCTATCTGCCATGGTGGTCACTTTTTAAGGAAGAGACAAATCACTACTACACAAACTTCTATCAGTTTCATTCAAATGCAACCTGCAGGGTACATCCAATGATCAGTATAGATTTGGTCCAATCTCATACAACAAATTATTGATGCAAGATCCTAAAGGAAAGGGCAACTCTTATTCTTAACTGTAATGAGGATACTGTCATTTCAGCAATATTTCTAATAATGATAAACAGGAAAGCAAAAAATGAAGATGATAATTTAAAAAAGATTCAAATAGAAAAGCCCAATGTTCCCTAAGCAATCCATTTGGTAACAAATTTATAGTAAATACAAATAGCAACAGAAGTTGCTTGAATTTTTCATCCATGCCCTAAGACCATTTTCGAGGCAAAAACAGTGTTTCACTTCCTAAAGGCCAATTATCCTCCCCACAAAGTTAGGGGGTTTGGGGGGAGAACTGTTTGAACACTTTTATGAGCAAAGGGGGGGTGGGGGGAAATAGGATAAGCAGGAAATAGAAAACCAAGGAATGCTGCAATGTCAACTGAACCTTCCCCCCTCAACTCCTTTGCAAAAAATAAGATAAAGAAAAAGCTGGCTTCCTTAAGATAGTGGTGATCCGTAAGATCAGTTAAACAATATGGTAATTAGAAAAGCATCTCATTGTTAGAATTCTTAAGATTTCCAAATACTGGCCTCAATAGAATAGTAAATAAAATAAACTTGGGGGGAGAGAAAAAAAGACAAACTACAGAAAAAACAATTGGATGCCAAAATATCTATCCTTAAATATATGTGGCTAGCTTTCATGCAGTATCAAGAACAATCTATTAACTCTATCTCTCACACCACCACACAAAACACCAGTTTATCACACCTACTCCCACATACAAAATGCACACCAAACTAAGATCCCTGCTGTACAAAGTAGCATTTCAATAACTCATACAGAAAACAATGACCCTCTTGTTGAAATAATCAAGCTCTGTTTCATTTGAGCCAAAAAGTCATGTTAAAAATGCAGGAACCTGACCAATGAGATCAAATTTGCTCAATAACCCACAGAATAAAAACTTACAATTAATGGAAAACATGGTCACTACTTTTAAAAGAAAATCTCCTCTTAATAGAACTTATCAATTCCAATTCACTTTCAAATACTTGCCTATCTACTAAACAATTTTAATATGAAGAGTTTAAGTGAGATTACAACCAAATACTTTTTCTTAAAATTCTACGAAGAATCAAAATTGCAGGTAACTCAATGGGTAATGAATGGAAAAGATGCAAGACTTCAGCAAACGGTAACATAAGTCATCATCAAGGACATATGACTGGAAAAGGAAGCCAGAGAGGGGAGACGTCCAATCCAAGTTCCACACCAGTATTTTGGATATAGCCTCCAGTGCATGGGATTGATACTTCATGTAAATTTGAGGGAAGAAATGGTAAAGAATCACAAACTACAAGGGAGGGGGAGGGAGTTTCAATCATATACTAGTGGACTTCAAATATATAATGAGTATTTTCTGCCTTCTCAATGGGTAGGGGAGGAGGCGGAGGGAGACAGAAAATTTGGAACTGAAAATAAAAATACAAAATTAAATTTTAAAAAAAAAATCATGTGCTAGTGGAATGCTTACACATAGTGACTTAAAAAAAAATCTTGGATCCAAAATATAAAAGATTTTGCATATTGCACCACATGCACTTTTGTCTGGTCTGGGAGTAAAAGAGATTTGAAAGGAAGAGGAGGATATGGTTCACATTCCAAAAGTCTTTCAATGTATTTAAAAATTGGCCAGTATTATCCAGATTAGGTTCTTTCATCATTTTCAGCATTTGTATAGAAAAAAGGAGTTAGTTACATAATCCTTGACAATGGAAGGTTTAAGCCCCACGCTCAACTCAAGAATCTGAACACTGGTCATGTGGAAAATCTATGTACTCAAGTGTATATAGTATGTAACTTTTCTTATATTGGAATTCCCCCAACATGAGGGGCCAAAGAAAGATCTTCCCAGGAGGAAATAAACTCTAGGACAAATCAAAGTGAAGAATAGGAGAGCAATTCTTGTTTTTAAAAAATTGACAAATTCTCAACATTCAGGAGCAGCTAGGTGGCACCGTAGATAGAGCACCGGATAGAGCACCGGCACTGTAGTCAGGAGGACCCGAGTTCAAATCCCGTCTCAGACACTTGACACTTACTGCCTGCGTGACCCTGGGCAAGTCACTTAATTCCATTGCCTAGTCAAAAACAAAAAATTCTCAATATTCATTACAAAGCAAAAAAAAATAAACAAAAAACGCTAGCACAAAAACACCACAGGCAAAAATTTCAAAAGACAATATTGAGTAGCTTTCATAGTCTCTTTATTGTATTGTCAAGAAAACAGTCATAGCCTCTCATCTTTCCTACACTCTCTAGGACTATTAACTAGACCTTGGGGAAAGGATCACAGGTACTGTTTGGAACAACACGTACATGTCACAGTACTTACTCAGTTGAAAGTCACTTTCAGAATACAGTCCACCACACGATTTTGTTCAGCCAACAATTATTATGCTCCTACTCCATGCAAGGAACTTTGAGACAAAAGTGCTCTAACATAGTATGCAGCCTACTGGTTAGATACAAGAGCATTGCATGGTGCGTCTGAGAGCTAGACGGCCCACGTTCAAATCCTACCTAAAAACACAATATCTGCATGACGGTCTAGGAAGTCGTTTAGCCTCTCTTCACCTGTAAAATAAAAGTCACCTACCTCACAGGCTTACCTAAAAACATCAAATGAGTTGTCCTAAGCACAGTGTTCTGCAAACCTTAAATAAGCGCTGAATTGTTCTTTATTACATTCCACTGAGAACACACAACCTTAAAATGCCAAATTGTTTTTTTTAATTATCATTCCACTGAGAACATACACAGAAGCTTAGAGTGCTAAAAAATAAAATTATTATTGTCATCCCACGGAGAATACACAAACACACGCTCCGCCGACAGTTTGGGGGGCAGGAAGCATGATATCCTCTCACCCCTCCATTCAAAGAATGCACTGAAAAGCAGCTTTCAAGAGGAAGGCAGAGAGTCAACGAGGGAAGGGGAGAGTGTTGGGGAAAGGTATACAATGTGTTAATTTCAATCGGTCGGCCGCCGTGTCAATTACAAGGTGGGGGAGGAAGGTGTGTAAAGGAAGCGTGTCAATTTCAAGAGGCAGATAGAGTGTCAATTTCAAGGGACAGGCAAGGAGACAGAAGGCGATGTGAGGAAGAAAAAGTGGAAGGGGAGAAAGCCCACAGCAACGAAGGGAAGGCGCAGGGACGGGTGGCAGGCCAGAAAGGATGGGGAAATCTGAGCTAGAAGAAACGTGGCGACAGAGAGCAAAACACAGAGGAATAAAAGGACTTCTCGGGGGCTCTCGCCAGAGACCGAGGAAGATAGGATGGGCGAAGAAAGCAGGCGATCTTCGCGGAACGGGCGGCTCCGCTCCACCTGTGCTCACCTTGCTGCGGTCGTCTTCCTGCTTCAGGAGCTCGGGAACGGAGGCCATAGTGAAAAGCGTTGCTAATGGAAAAGAGAAGCTGCGACTGCGGCTCCTCTCCCCCCGCCCCCGCTAAAGTACCTACTCTCAGTCGGGCCCTGGCTCCGCCCCTGCCTCTCCACGCCGCCGGACTCCTCCACCATCCCAGCAACGCCCTAGCGAACCGCACGTGGCAGCTTACAAGGCCAGGCCCGATTCTGGGCCCGCCGCCCGCCCACCATTTTGGAGCCGGGCAGGGGAACTCGTGCTAAATCTAATCCCCTTCCTTGCACACCCTTTCCTAGGCGCTGATCTCAAGTTTGGGGAAAGAAGGAAGGAAAGAGGGAAGAGAGGATGCTATCTGCCCCATTACTGGGAGAAGTCTGCCCTTCCTGCAGGACGAGCCGTTACGCAGAATTCACCGTTCATGCCAGAGCCCTAACTCAAGATGGCGGCGTAGAGGCTACGCTAGAAAGGAAAAGGAATCGAGAGCCGAGGCTGGCCACGTGACCACTCTCCCGCGCCTGGCTCCGAGTCTCAGTTTTAAGGAGCCACTGTTCATAAAGACGAAGGTGGGTGAGGGGCGGAGCGAGGAATGGCAGCGGCAGTGCATGACGGACACCGTCGCTCCGTCCCTCCAACCTTCGGCTAGGTCTGGTATGTGGGACACGATAAAACTACTAGTCTAGAGAAAGCTCGCTGGACTGCCGCCCGCCACGTCGTGGCGCCGCAAGGAGCTGTCAAAAGGCTGCGGCCCACGAAAGGTACAAACAGGGCCCTGCCTCCCGTCCAGCCTCCAACTGCTGCGAGGGCTTTAAACTGACTGCACTGTTAGAGCGCACGCTGTGACCCCGTTTCCTCCCAGTCAGCCGCAGCACGGGCTCCCTTCCCGGTTTTACGCTCCTACGTCCTCCCGCAGTCGCGAGTACGCGCACGTTCTCCTGTGGCGGCGAGTGCTCATCCATTGGGCGCCAAATTCTTTCTTCCCGCTGCCGCGTAATCCAGGGCTCTGTAAATGCTACCTGTTATTATTGTAGAGTCATTAACGGCGCCCGAAGAAGGTCACCTGCGTACCGTCCTCGGCAGCTTTGTCCTCTCCCAGGATTGGGGCCCATATTTGTAGCTGTCGCCGTAGCGGTGAGGGACGATTAACCCCCTCCCAGGTGTGTTTAATAGTAACAACCACTTTCCAGCTCCCGCCTTCAGGCCTTTGCCCTGCGGTTTCCCAAAGCCCTTTCTTCCGCTTCTCTCGGGATATAGCACCCTGCAAAGAACAGCTCAGGTGCCGTCCCCTGTAGGAGACTTTTTCTGACACTTCCCCCACCTAAGCTCTTAGCGTGCTCTCCCTCCTGAAATTACTTCGTAGAAACTTTGTATTTACTTAATTGTGTATATGTTGTATTCTCTGAGTAGAATGTAGAACTACCCTTTGAGAACAAAGACTTTCCATCTTGTCTCTCTTCTCATTGCTTTGCACAGTCCTATTAATTGTCTTTTTATGATAATGAATATATTTTATATGACATTTTAAGGTTTGCACAACGAGTTACAAATATCTCTTTTTATCCTCACAATAGCCGTGGAAAGTAAGTGCTATTATTATCCCAAACAGGCAGATTTTAAGTGATTTGTCCCCGGTAAAATGACTGGTGTCTGAGGCTGGATTTTAATTAATTTGAACTCAGGTATTTCGGATTCCCAGGTCTACGTGGCTGATGCACCTATCTGCCTTCTAACTTATGTAACTGACATATAGTGCTTTAACATTTTCAAAGTATGCATATGCAGTTGATGATATGATTTGAGCCTCACCAACAATCCTGTGAGTTAGCTACTATAGACACTGTCATCCTCTGAGGCTCAGAGAAATGGTCACAATGCTAGTGTCAGAAGTGGAATTTAAAACACAATTCCAAGGCCACTGTGCCTAGCCCATGGTAAGCACCAATTGTTTGCTCTTGTTATTTTTATTATTATTCCAAACAGACTTTCTGGTTAACTCTTTCACAGATCATTGCCTCTCAACTCAACAAAACATCAAATACTTGCTATGTACAAACTGGGTTTCTTTCTTTTCCTCATAAATGACACTATCTCCTTTCTTCATGCCTTTGCACTGGCTGTTTCCCATGCCTAGAATGCATTCCCTCTTCACCCATGCCCCTTGTTTTCACCAGAACTCTGCTCAGTCACCACCTTATACATGAAATCTTTCCTTATTCCCTAAGCTCTTCATTCCCTCTCGCTACCCCGACAAAAAAAAATTATCTTCTATAAATTTTGTATATATTTATGAGTTGTCTCTCCCATTAAATGTAAGTTCCTCAAAAAGTCTAGGAACTGGGTTTTGTTTGTTTGAGGGGAGAGAGAAAGTCATCATTTTAACCTCAGGTCAGTACTGTGTCTTAACAGAGTAGGCACTTAATATACTTTGCTGGGGCACCAGATAAAAGAAGTAAAGTTGGAAGACAGTTTAGAGCTCATCTAAACCAGCTTCCTCGTTTTACAGTTAGTGCCACTTTGTCTTAAACTCTCTTCAAATGTTTTAGTTTCCTCATACATAAAATGAAGATAGATCATGTAATCTATGATCTGGCTTTTCCAGCTTTGAAATTTTACGATTCTGTGAGTATTGGGAAATTCGTGTCATGTACTCTAAGAACCAAGCAACAGCTATCTGCTGATTCTGAAATTTGCCCAGTGATCACAGAGCACACTCGAGGTATCTGTCTTTTTGCATGATTTGCAGAGAGGCAAGATCAACTGAATGATCAACATGAATGGTTCATTGCCCTGAAAAGTTTTGCTAAGTAGGAGTGCTAGCGTGGAAAATTACTAGGAAAATATTAAAATGCTTTGTTGAATCTTACTTTCTTCAGTTTCTATTTCTATTAGTCAAAATACTGATCACTAACATTACTTTTTCTCTTTCATAGGACACTCTGAAAAAACCCATTGACATTTGAAGTAAAAGAGGGAGAACTTTGGAACAAATTATATTCCATATAAAGTTAGAGCCTAAAAAATGCAGTCACTATCAAGCATATGCAAGAAACTTGGAAGATCAAGTAGGTTCTTTGTAGAACTAGCTCCTTCTGTGGGTTTCTCTACTTCGTGTTACTTTTGTAGCCAGAAGAAGAAAAAAAACCCTTATCAAGAAGTTGACCAAAACAAATACTCTAATTTAATACGTTCTATTATATCAACCAAAATTAGTTCTCAGACACCAGAATCATTGTTTCAAGAAGATGATTTATTATATGGACCTGTGAGTGAATGTAAGGTCCAAGAGCAAGAATCAGGACCAATAAAAAATACAATTCTTCTCCTCAATCCAGAAAAAAGAAATGGATCAAACACTCTAACTGATTCCTCAGTTCCTTTGAAAATACCATTGCAAAAGAATAAAATGCCTAGTGTTACTAGAATCCTTCAGCAAACCATGACAGCAAAACAAATCTTAACCCTAGAGAGGTGGAAACAGAAAATGATTCTGGAGCTGGGAGAGGATGGCTTTGCAGAATATACTTCAGGTAATTCTACTCTATTTCTGTACTAGTTATATTTTCTAGAATATATAGTGCTATTATATATCGAATATAAGAATGTTTTTATTCTGTGATGATAAGAAGGAAACCATTTTTTAAATGTTGCTTAAAATCCATGGCAAATTTCCATATTAGAATTGCTTATTTTCCATGATTTGGAATAGGAACTGGACGTGTGATTTCATTTTTATATGAAACTACCGATTAAGGAAAACTCCTATTAATGCAATTTGGCACCTTCTTTTCCACATGTAATGTTAAAGCAAAAGTATGAAACACCCAGCCCACAATACTCCCCAAATATTGCCCAAACCAGGTTAAATTGTCTCTATCTGATTTTAATGTGTTGATGTATTAATAAAAAATAAATACATGAACATATGTGGTTTTCCAAGTCAATATGCAGCCCATAGGGTTCCTTATGTGACCTCATTTCTATTTGAGGCTGACACCATTGTCTTAGAGAGTTGTTCCTAGCACTCAGAGGTTAATTGACATCCCCAAACTGTCAGAGGCAGAACCCAGTGCTTCCTGGCTAGAAGAACAGCTTTCTATCCACTGTGCCGTGGTGCCTTCCCATGATTAAAAGAAACTTTTTCAGCTGTTCACATTGCATAATATTCAAGATAATAGGAAATAAACCCTTTTTAATTCTAATTAAATTGGCTGTAATATCATTGAAAACACTGTCAATAAACCATAACACATAGTCTGAATTCACATCTTGGTAATATCATGCTAACCTTTCAAATTTAACATCTTATTGAAAATAGGTAAACTAATTTACAATATTACTGTTGCAGCTCCTAGGGCATACTTTGAATGCTAAGTATCAGCCTTAGCAGGATTTTGAAGGCAAAAGTATCTTTCAGCAACAGAAATTCTGTTTGGATAAGTGAATACCCCAGCAAATAATAACAATGGAAGCAGAGAGAAAACTGATTATCAGACCACTAGGGAGGCAACTGTAAAAGGAATCAAGAATCATCAAGTCATCCAGATTTAGAGATGGAGGGGACCTTAGATAGTCACAAATCCAACCTTCTCATTTAACAATTTAGGAAATGAAGGGAAGAACTTAAGTATCTTGCCTGAGGTCACAAGTGAGTGGAGGCAGGATTTGCACACAAGTTCTCTGCATTATTATTTATGCTCTTCCATACTAGCTTTCTGAACAGGAATGACCTTCCCCCCCCCCTTTAATTCTGAAGAGTACACATTGCTACTGCCCTCTCTGGATGTGAGAGTACTGGGATAAACAATTTTAAAAATGAGAAATACCCAAATTCTATTTACATTTAACCTAAGTTGCTTAAATTTATATCTGCTCTAGGATCCGCCAAATCTGTCTTCATAATTATAAATGAAATTTCCTTGCCCTAGTCCATGCAACTGTACCACTTATCTTACCTTCTACTTATACTGCTCTAAGACACTGACCATCACTCTTATTTATTGGATTTGATAAGATAAACATTTATTAAGCACCTATTACAGGAATGACCTTTTAAGTGATCGTCATCCTTCTCCAGGTGGCACTACTGACTCATTTATCTCCTTGGGACTTTCTCTACATGCCACAACAATTTCTTCACCCTAAAAGCTCACTGTACCCTTGGAGTACTTCTCACACTGGAAGTACTCTTTGCCCCTTACGCCTCACCTTCTGATTAGCAGGTTCCTCCCAGAGGGTGGCTTAGACCTCTTTAAAATGAACCCTTATCAAGAAGTCAACCAAGGCAAATACTCTAACTTAATTCATTGTATTGTATCAACCAGAATTAGTTCTCAGACACCAGAATCACTGTTGTAAGAAGATGATTTGTTTTATGGACCTGTGATTAAATATAAGGTCCAAGAGCAAGAATCAGGACCAAAAGTTGCACAAAAATACAATTCTTCTCCTCAATCCAGAAAAAAGAAATGGATCAAGCCCACTCTAACAGAGTCTAACTGATTCCTCAGTTCCTTTGAAAATGACTTTGCAAAAGAATAAAATGCCTAGTGTCGCTGGAATCCTTCAGCAGACCATGACAGCCAAACACTGTCTTCATCCTTCTGCAGGTTGCCCTGCACTGTGCCTGGAATGTAATAAGTGCTCAATAAATGACTGTGACTGTCATCTTCTGCTTGGAGACCTCAGTAATGGGGAATTTTTCTCCTGAGGCATCCTGTTCCACTTTTGAACCGTTTTGACTGTTAAGAATTATAACTAGTAGAAATCTCTCTCTTTCTCTCTAACTTTGACCTAGCTCTCTGGGAATAAGCAGAACATATCCAATCCCTCTCACACATTATTATTCTCTGAATAGAAGAAAACTATAAGAGGGAAGGGGAGAAAATTTAAAACTCAAAATCTTATGGAAGTGAATGTTAAAAATGAAAAATTATTTAAAAAAATAAAATAAAATCACAAAAAAAATTTTAAAAAAGAAAAAAACTATAGTGCTCCTACCCCAAATTCAGTTTAGTTTTGCAGACATTTGTTAAGCAGCTACTTTATGCCAGCACTGGAGATACAAAGACAATAATGTTCCTGCCCACAATAAGTTGACGTTCTTTTGGGGGAAATACAGTAAGAACACAAGCAGGTTAATGAAAGCCATTTTGAGTATGAGTCTAATACCAGAAAATGTGGGGATAAGCAGAGACTTTCAGGAGTTCACATCTGAGATAAGCCTTGAAAAAGATGTTTAGTCAGTTAAGAGTATTAAGTGTGCGTTATGTGCCTGGCACTGTACTAAGCCTTGGGGATACAAAGAAAGGCAAAGGACTATCCCTGCCCTCGTTGGAGCTCACAATCTAATGGATTTAGAAAGGTGAAGTGAATTCCTCTCCCTTTCTCCCTTCCTCCCCCCACCCCCCAAACTCCTCCTTAGAACTATAGAGACAGCCTGAGGTGGGAGATGAAATGTTATATTCAGGGAAGAATTAACAGTCCAATTTAACTGAATGTAGGATCAAATTTTTAGAGCCATCTAGTACAATCCCCACATACAGATGAAAAAACTAGCACAAAAAGGCTTAGGGGGCCCAGGGTCATAAAGCTTGCAAGAGATTTGTGTGGTATTTGAACACAGGTTATCTGACTCCAAATTCTAGACTCTTTCTCCTGTACCATGCAGGGGAATAACAAGAAATTAAGCTCTGTCCTAGGACCTTCTGTCTATACAGACTCTCTTGATCACATCTGCTTTCACGAGTTTAATTATCTGTATGCATTTTGACTCCTAAATCTATATATCCAGTCCTGTTCTCTCATAGACTCCAGTCATGCATAACCAACAACTTGCTGGACATCCCACATGTAGATACTGTAGGCATTTCAAACACATGGCCAAAATGGAACTAATTTCCTAAAATATTCTTCTCCCAAACGTCTGTGTTCTGCTGTGGGCACCACAAATCGTTTTTGTGTTGCAGGGTCTTGACCCCAGAGTTCTCTTGAGCTGTCTCCTCTCCCTCCTGTCTCATATTCAAACAATTCCTAAGTTCTTTTAGTTCCATCTTCACAAGATCTCTCAAGATCCCCCTCTCTCCATTCACCTGACAGCCTCTTCATTATCACCTGTCACCTAGACGTTTGCATAAGTCATCTCCCCGCTTTGAGTCTGTCCCCTCTCCAGTCCATCCTCCACAGAGCAGTCAATAGCCCTAAAAAACCGACCCGACCATGTCACACCTCGACTCAAAAATCTGAAGTGATTCCCCAGGATAAAGTACAAAGTTCTCAGCCGGAGTATTTAAAACTCCACAAGGTACCAGTCCAGTAATATTTTATATTAATTACTCTTTACAAAATCTGTTCCAGGGAAACTGACCCTCCCTAGCTGTATACGATTCCATTTCCCATTTCCTTTGCACATGTGGCCCCTCCTCAGTGCTACCTCTTACAATCCATACTTTCCTTCATTTGTTAAACGGCAGTAATAACAGCACCTTTCTCACAAGGTGATGAGGATTAAATGAGACACGACACAAATTGATGACCTTTAAGCACTATGTAAATATTAGCTATTAAGGAAAAGACAGACTAACAACTGCAGGACTGAGGAAAGGCTGTGCTCAAAGTCTAAGAGGTAGAGGTGAAGAGAGACAGTGTGCTAGATAGGGGCCATTTACATTCCATTGATCCAGCCCAGCTTTCACTGTCCCCCCTAAACCTTGGTACCCAGAACAAAACGCAATCAGGTGCTCCTTATTAGGGCCTGGCCTGGTTTCTGTTTTCCTAGGATCAGCCCCAGCATTGGGCAAAAAAAGTAGTGTTCTTTTTTTGTGAACATAGGCATACCTAGAATGCTCTTTCTTCAACCCTTACATACCTAGGACCCAGAACAAACAGAGATATGTTTAGAGCTGACATGCTTTTTAAACTTAAACAATTCCCTAATTACCAGTTTACCATTCAGTGTTTGGAAAGGAGAAGCTAAGGTAACAAGTGCAGATTTCTCCTAGCAATTAGTTTTGATTATTTTAAAAACTTGAAGCTACTGTCAAGGCCCTAGATATGTTTTAAAAGCTAGGTGGCGCAGTAGATAGAGCACCGGCCCTGAAGTCAGGAGGAGCTGAGTTCAAATGTGGCCTCAGACCAAATATTTGACACTTAACTAGCAGTGTGACCATGGGCAAGTCACTTAGCCCCAATTGCCTTTAAAAAAAAAAAAAAAAGTTTTCCTAGTACCTTGATCTCCATATCTGTAAAATGGGGTTTATCTATGGCTGTCATTAGCATATTCATTAATGTTTATGAAGGGACAATTGGATGGTACGGTGGATACAGTGCCAGGCCTGAAGTCAAGAAGACTCATCTTCCTGACTTCAAATCTGGCCTCAGACACCTACTAGCTGTGTGACACTGAGCAAGTCACTTAACCCTGTTTGCCTCAGTTCCTCATCTGCAAAATGAGCTGAAGAAGGAAATGGCAGAACACTACAATATCCTTCCAGAAAAAACCCCAAATGGGATCATGAAGAGTTGGTCATGACTGAAATGACTTAACAATAATAGCAGTTTTAATGACATTCACATTACTAGTAAGAAATAGTTTATAATGTGCTTCAAATAATTGTATAAATTGAAATTATTGTAAATAAATAATTTTGCATATGCCAGGAAAATCTATTTCAAAAAATCCTATCGTGAATCTTTTTGCAAATATTTTTACTCCGTCTAGATTTTCATATTTATCTTCTTTAAAGTGAGATATGAAAGAGGCGTAGTAGATAAAGATGACTTTGAGAGGACCTGGGTTCAAGTCCCACCTTTGATATATACTGGCAATCTGACCCTAGGTGAGTCCTTTATTTAACCAATGCTCTAGGCAAGTTGCCAAGAAAGTATTGACTTGGATTGGTTGAGAGAGTTTCTCCCCCAAGGAATTCCCTATTCAAGTGAATTAACAAGTCCAGTTCCTTTTCCTTAACCATGTCCACCAACATGTTTAAATTTTCAATCATATATTTCACATAAGGGAGCCAGTCTTTGTAATTTCACATGCTAACAGGTCATGGAAATGGTTGGCCAGTGTTGAAGAATGTGTATTTGTCTATAGAGCAAAAGCTAATTAACCATATTTACATATATCATTGTGGAAACAAAAATGCAAGGTGCCTTTAAATATAGTTATAGGTTCAGAATTTGAAAATACTGTATGGTGATTATGATATTCTTTGAAAATAAGTTATTTTCTTATTACATTTCTATATATCTATGTAAATGGATATTTCTCTGTGTCTCTTTTTCTTTCTCCTTGGTTCCATCTTATTGTATATAACTTTGTGCCTCTCAGAGTCTTCTTCATCTGTATTTGTGTCACTTTTTTCTTTCGAAGTTTCTTTTTTCTCTTCCTTTTCTCTTCTTATTCCTGTCTTAGCCAAAATATTTTTTAATTTGTTGTTTTTATTCATACTTTCATGTTCACTATTTTTAACCTTAAAATAGATGAGTGAAATGATTTATATTCTCTCCAAAAAAAACTAAATTAGGTTACTTTTAACTTGTGTGACTTTTTATTTCCCCCCAATGGATAATATTGATAGGAAAAAGGCTTCCCACTCCCTTATTAAGCTTGCACATTCATCCTTTAATTGAATTGCAAACAGAAGCATAATTAATTGATTTTCTTATTTTTCTTCCTATTTTAGCAGGCTCCATTTTATTTTTCCTTTCTATGTGTAAATTCATATTATTATAAAGTATCAGGTGATTCTGTGGCTTTCATCTCTTTCAAAAGTTGTTTGCCATTAGCAGAGGCCTAGTTAGTTCACATTAGAGTGTTCTGATGGAATACTTAAAAATTCTTTTCATTATCTTAAAACAATTCAGAATGATTACAATTTTGAAAATATTCTTAATCCTCTCTGTTCAGGAACTGTTTTTTAAAAAATATTTCTATAATAATTGTGGTTTTAAAATTGTTTTAATAAGGTGTACTTGTTTTAATTAGGGGTTTTTCTTAGTACCAGTTTTGAGGTTTTATTTTTTTCTGTTTTTTTTTTCTCTTAGACATCTTTTTGCAAGGGAAACATTTCCATGAAGCATTAGAAGCCATGCTTTCATCCCAAGAGCAATTAAAGGAATTAGATGAAAAAACTATTAGCTCTGGCTATGTAGCAAGTGTCCAACATGTCTTAAAAGACCTAAGTGGAGTAAGAGCTGTAGAAAGTGCAGTTCATCATGAGACCCTTAAGTATCTGGGCCTAATGGACTGTGTAGCTGAATATCGGTAAGTGCTACATTATAGATATCCATAGCAGCTGGAGAAAAATTAAGTGATATGGATAGCATCATCTCTGCCAAATACTACCTTTTACTTTGTTCATTGTTCCCAAGGCCCTCCTCCTCTTCTCCAGGCTTGTCTCTACCATACCAGAAAACACTGCTTATTCAAGGTAGGAATGAGTGTGATCCATAACAGGGATGTTAGTCTGTGTTAACCTCCTTTTGTTCAAAACCAAAAAAAATTTATTTTAATCAAGGTAATCCCTAAGTAGCCTGAGGAGTAACCCATTCCTTAGCCCTTTCCTCCTGTCTACCAAGCACAGTACCATATCTGAGGTAGTCTACTGTTCACAATAGAACCCTAGACTTAGAAAGAACTAATTTTGACCCTCCCCCCACGCCTGTTAGCTATAGCTGTGTGACTGAGAAAGTCACATGATCTTTCTAAACCTCAGTTTCCTCATCTGTAAAACGGGAAAAACAATAGCCCCTAATCCAGGGTTGTTGTTAGGATGAAATGAGATAATGTAGGTAAAGTGCTTCACAAACTTTAACGTGCTGTATTCTTATCAGTTATTACTCTTGTTATCATCATTAACTGATTAAAGCTCTTGTTCTGAGACTTTAAAATACAAATGACTGGTTCTGCCTGGCACAGACAGCAGAACTTATTTCCTCATGTCTTCCTTTCCTGTTTTCCCAAGGATAATGCTTTGATTTCTTGAGTCAACTCTGTTCTCGGTTCTTCCTCATTTTGTGAGTTAGGCAGAAACCCTGGGCATTATAAAAATTTCCTCTGCCAAATTTTTCTACGTCTCCAAATTCCAGAGATAACTCATCGGAGATCCTCTTCTGTGACCTGACAAAATTGCCATCACTCTGTTTTCTTTTTTCCAGTAAAAGGTATTACTGAAAAGCAGTGGACAGGAGACAAAGTACATGTTGGGGTCTAACCTGATGACAGTGAATCTTAACATACAGTTTAGCGCCTTCTGTAAAAGATTTGAGACAGGATGTCATGAGTTGGGTTATTCAGCAGCTTAAAGACTCAAAAAGGAAGATATTAGCTCCTGGTCTTTTTCTAGATTGCTAGTTTAAACCACTTAACAGGTATGTGCTTCAGTTGGCTTCATCTGCAAAATAAGAACCATCGTTGTTCTTTCATTTCAGACCTATCTGACACTTTATGACCCCATTTGAGGTTTTCTTGGCAAAGATACTGGTGTGGTTTGCCATTTCCTTCTCTAGCTCATTTTACAGATGAGGAACTGAGGCAAAAAGGATTAAGTGACTAGCCCAAAGACACACAGCTAGTAGGTATCTGAGGCCAGATTTGAAGTTGGGAAGATGAGTCTTCCTGACTCCAGACCCAGTACTCTGTCCACTGTGCCACCTAGCTGCCCATACATTATTAATTATTTCAGTGGGATGTTAAGCAGGTTAATTAAAAGAAAAAAAGCTGCGTAAATTATCATACACTCAAAGCCAAAATCTTATAAAGTTTTAATATATTCATACACTGTGGGTATATTTTTAAATTTTTTTTTTACTATGTCATGATCATTGTGAACAGGGAAGTAGAGCAATTTTTATGGGGTAAGATAATATATTTTAATGTCATGGCAAAGTTATTTTCTGAAGAGTGCTTTATAAATCTCAACGATCCAAATATTGTTACAACATATACCGGTATTGACAACAGAAATCCCTTTACTTTAGCAGCCAACAGTCTTTTAGAAGTGGCATGCTCTCTTTTTATTCATTCTCTCCCTCCTGCCCATCTTGAGAAACCATTGCAGTATGAGATGGAACTTTGAGGACCCTTCCAAGAGAAAACTCTCCTAAACCTCATGATTGCATGGTTGGGGGAAAGAAGAGCACAGTGAGGTGCCTCAATCCAAAAGTAACTCTCATTTCAGTAACCCTTTAAAGTTGACAGAGAGCTTTCCTCACAAACCTGTGAGATAAGTAGTGCATGTATTATTATACACAATCTGTAGATGATGGAATTGAGGCTCAGAGAAGTTAAATGATTTACTCAAGATCACAGCTCATGAGTGGCAGAGCTGCTGTTTCAGTGAGGTCCTCTGATTCCAAATCTAATGTTCTTTCCAGATAGCATGCTGTATCAATGTACATACCTATATTTTACTCTAAAATTCTGGCCACTGTGCCTAAGACCACCCTTAGGGAAGGAAGTAAAATGCCCAAAAATAAGCTCAACCCCTAGCATGCTCCCATTAAAATTTTGTTTTTTTTTTTTTTTTGCATTTTAAAAGCTTTCCTCTCTCCAAGCAATCCCTTTAAAAATACAAATATCCTTAGAAATAGAATATCTTAGCTTTTAAAACCTTGGTTAAAAATCAGGATTAGGGAAGATGAAGAAAACTAGATATTTTCTCTGATCCTCCTGACCTCTCAAACCTGTCTAAAATAGAACATAAGTGCAAGGGGTAAAGTGATTTCAGGTATCTCCATGAACCGGGACACCAAGGACCTTAACAAGGTAAAAACATGATGAACTAAGAGCAGAGAAGGCTAATCCATAATCCCTAATGCACTCACTCAGTGCTCCTTCCCCCACTGCCCACCTTATTCAGACAGAGCTGTCCAAGCTCACAGGCTTGCAAGAGCTCACATTCTATCTTCCTCTCAGTGCTGTGGAAAACCAAAAGACTTCAGAAGCTTACTCTGGCTGGGACAGCAGCCTGGCAGCTCAAGCCGAGAACTGAGGAACAAGAGAATGCGAGGCACTCCACTAAGCCTGAGAGAAAGAGCCCAGCATCCAGCTGGAACCAGTTCTGTCCCCCTAGAAGTCACTTAGGACAAACTGAGGCAGATGAAATGTGAACTGCCCGAAATGGGAGGAGGCTGAGATGGCTTTGAGATCCAGCTCTTAGGTAAACCACTATCAAAGGGAAAGGAGTCAAAAAGTGGGCAAGAGGGCAAAATAAATAATTAAAAAACACCGAAATTGCCAAAGATCTCAGGAGGAAGAAAACTCAATTAAACACTTTGAGCATAAGCAAATAAACCAACAGGAAGAAAGTAATAACAGAAAGTAAAATGGCCTCTGGATCAGGGGAAAAAGTACAGGCATCTGTGAATAAATATTTTTAGACAAAGGAAAATGAATCAATACCTGATGAAGCAAAGGAACCTACAGATCAAAAAAAGAGTATGGGACCACAGCAGGATGTTCCTGAATGGCTTAAAAGAGACATAAGAATCATGAAAGCAGAATTTAGGGCTTACACACAGCAGAAATAATTAGCAGAACAGAAAAACTTTAATCCATGGTGATGAGTCTCACCAAAGAAACAGAGAGGATAACTGATTGGGAATGTAAGGGCACAGAAGTAAAGGACCAGCTAGAAGAAGAGAAGCAAAAAAGCGTTAAAGGAAAACATGCTCTCTCTACAAACAAAACATATTGATCTATAAGATCAATAGAGATGACTTAGGACCCAGAGCCAAGCAGGGGCAAAGCAAGAGAATCCTGTCTCAGCATCAGGAAGGAAATTCCTGCAATCCCCCTCTGATGAGCCACTCGATTCTGCCTCAGTCTGTGGGCCAAGAGCTCTGGAAACAGCCTCCGCCCTCAGGCCACGCCGGGACCAGGGCTGGGACAGAGCTTCTCTCTCACCGTGGTCACAGACCTTTCTTACTGATCTTCTTAGTTGACTTTGGCATTTGTGGGTTGAGAAGGCTAGAAACCACAACAACTGCCCATGATTCAGTCCCCTGAAGCCTACTCCAGATTTTTCAGAGGTAAAATATTGATGTAATGATTGTATATGACAGAAGTATTTATTTAAGTCCTTTAGTATACTATGAGAAGATATATAAAATACTTTGGGAATCTGCATCTCACTATATTAACATAGAAAGAGCCAATGATATCATTTGTGTATATTGTGTTAAAGAAAAGACTCGATTTATATTGAAAATGATTCTTTTCATTGGTGCTGCCCATTCATACTCATTTTGGAATGAGTCCATAAATGCTTCATCTGGAATTCTAGTCAGAACAAATATATTTGATAGGTTGAATATATATCAAAATAATGTAAAAACTATTCATAAAGTAATGATGTTAGAATTCCATTGAGTTGTTCTTCATTGTCAGTGTTTCATGTGTATCTCAAAAAAAAATAAGGCATGTATTTTAGATTTGTAAGTTCCATGAAAGCAGGTGCTAGATCTTTCTGTTGATGCTCTGTGTATTGATTCATCTTTAATATAAAATCAAATTTGGGGGGGAAGAATAGAGACGACTTAGGGATAATGGGTCTCCCAGAAAAAGCACAAGTCAAAAAACCTGAACACCATAATGCAAGAAATAATACAAGAAGGCTGTCCAGAACTTCTGAACACAGAAAACAAAGTGCCAATTGAAAGAATCCACAGGTTCCCTCTGCAAAAGACCTGTGCAGCAAGCTCTAACTCACATAGTGGTTAAACTTAACAATTGCAATACAAGCAAAAATTTTTCAAGCAACCAGGAGAAAGGCCTTCAAAAGGAAATTGGAATAACATTAGACTATTCCTTACCCATCAGAAGCCACAGGAGAAAATGGAGTAAGAGTTTTTAAGAATTTTAGTTCATAAGAACTGGAAACAAAGGAGATACCCATTGATTGGGGAATGACCAACATTGTGGTACACAAATACAGTGAACTATTACAGCACCATAAGAAACAATGATGAGGAATCTAGAGATGCATGGGGAAACTTATACAAATTAATGAAGAACAAAGGAAGCAAAACCAGGAAAACAGTATACACAAAGCCTAAGACAATATAAATGGAAAGGATAAAAGAAAAAAAAACTAAATGCTAAGTAAACTAAATTAAAATGATTAAGCTTGACCTAGAAAAGGAGAGGAGAAAATGCACTGCCTTCTCTTCTTTGTAGAGTTTGGGGAAAGTGGGAATGGGACAATGTATATGTTGTCAGACCCACATGTTAGTTTGGATGAACTGCTTTTTCCCTCTCTTTGTTTTTCAATTCTTTGTTAAAAGGGATGGCTCTCCATGTAATGGAGTAGGGGAGGAATATGTTTGGAAATGATGATGTATAAAGAAAAGATGTCAATAAAAAACAAAATTTTTAAAGGACCCTCGTGCACTGTAAGTATATAAGATATTTTGAATTTTGGGAGGCCCTACCTTTTTTTTATTTGTTTTTTATTTTGAACTTAACAAATACCAAATAAAATAGGCATTTCCATATATGTAGTTAAAGAGAAAAAGAGGACTGTCCTAGAAACTGTAAATCTCGATTATGTACAGCTTCTTTTCTTTTTAAATATATAATAAATTCAGCATGTGACTTCCAAATCACTGTCAGGGATTTTTTCTGACCTTCCTTCTTTTCTGCGCATTTTTAAAAAAATCCTTCAATGACTCTATTTTCTTCCTATTCTTTTTCTAGACAATTTTTTTATTGTACGCAATGACTATAACAACATGAATAGAAAGAACAAAAAAAAAGTCAAAATTAAATACTTTGTGATTAGAATGACCAAGCTTGACCCAGAAGAAGAGAACTGAGAATGTACCTCCCTTCCTTCTCTGCAAAGGTTTGGGGCATATACTGTCACATATAGTTGAATTATTTACTTTTTCAGAATTGCCTTTTTTTCACTTTTCCATTTTTGTTCTTTTGAGTTTGAAAAAAATTTATAAACATTTGTTCTCGCTCCCTTTACTTTCCCCTGTTTGGAAAAATGATAATAAAATGAAGAATAAAACTGTCATAACAAATATGCATTGTCCAGCAAGACAAAGTCTCACATTGGTAATGTTTTTCACATCAGGAATTCACTGTGCACATAGTGCTCAGTAATAATAGCTAGCATTTATATAGCTAGAAAGTTTGCAGAGTACTTTACAAAAATCTCATTTTATCCCCAAAACAACCCTGGGAATTAGGTGCTATTGTTATTCCCATTTTACAGATGAGGAAACTGAGGCCCAGAGAAGTCAAATGACTTGCCCAGAGTCACACAGCTAGGAAGTATCTGAGGAAGGATTTGCACACAGGTCTTCCAGACTCTAGGCCTAGCACTCCATCCACTGCATCTGCAGCTGTGTCAGTAAATTTCATTGATAATGATGGACTTTTTCTCTTTTTGGTTTCAGACAAGAAGTACTTCTTTGGAGGCAGCTAGGTGGCACAGTGGATAGAGCTCTAGCCTTGGAGTCAGGAGGACCTGAGTTCAAATCCAGTCTCAGACATATGACACTACTAGCTGTGTGACCCAGGGCAAGTCACTTTCCCCCAATTGCCTCACTAAAAAGCCAAAAAAAAAAAGTACTTCTTTGTCATCATTTTTAGTTTGTAATGATAGAAGTCATGGTTTTTAATTATTCATTCTAATGGACACCTGAAGTAGAAGATAATAACTGACCTATGGTTGGTACTTTAATCTTTATCAAGTACTTTACATACCTTATCTCATTTGATCTTAACTACAACCCTTTGAGGCAGATACTCCAGGTATCATTATCCCCATTTTGCAGATGAGAAAACTCAAGACTAGAATATGACATACCCATCAGTCACATAGCTATTAAGTACACAGGTAATATGTCAAGTTGGGTCTATGCTGTCCTTTTTCTCTCACCCTTTTGTGTGAAAATGAGGCCACACAAAAGAAGTCTTAAGGAAAGAGTAGAGAAGTCAGAATTAAGAGAATGAGGACTTAAAGGAGCAGATGCTGTTACTGTAGCTAGTACTCACATGTGCCCCCCTGCCTGAGGTACTCACCATTGCACCACAGGAAACAAATTACATTATATGCACTGAAAGGCAGCAGCTAATAATTACTTTGAATTGGCGTGTCAAGGAAAGGGTAAAGAGCTTCTCACTGGGAAAAAGGAGCTAGCAAAGTTATTATTAGCAATGTGTCTTTCTTCTCCTAAAAGGATTAAAAACCCAAGGGGAAGAGTCTTTTAAAATGGAATGCATCTTACTGTAAAGAATTGAGACAGACTGCTAAAATGTCATGAGTAATATATAGCAAAGGGCGTGTAGTAAGGGCCTTCATTCCAATATTGTTTTTGCTTAGCAGCCTAACCTGAAAGTCGGGCTTTTGTATTGTTTTCGTTGTAGGGGTAAGCTATGTGTGATCGATTGGAAGACATCAGAGAAACCAAAACCATTTATCCGGAACACATTTGACAACCCTTTACAAGTGGTAGCATATGTTGGAGCCATTAACCACGATGCCAACTATAACTTTGAGGTCAGTCTTTTGACCTGAACTGTAAAGTTTGCTTGGTATTTGTTTAAGGGCTTTGCTTCATTTGTGCTTTATTTCTTCTTTCTTTGTGGTCCCTTATGCTTAATCTCCTTCTTACCTCTCAGTCAATCTGAACCAGTAGCCTTTTCAATAATTTTCATTTCTTTCCTCTGGACTTCTCTACTTATCATCTTCCATTCCAGTCCATCAAGCATTTATTGCTTTCTGCCTATGACACTCCAAAGCCATCGCATTGTCCAGAGTCTTGTGCCCAATACACCTTGGTGAACAGAAAACAACTTGTAGATTGCTTTATTCAGAGCTTAGGTGTTTTTTACCTCGAAGGTGAAGAAAATATGCCAGAACTCTAGGCCTATTTTAGAATTTGCTGAAAATATTATGTGTTCTTTTTTCTCAGGTTCAATGTGGTTTAATTGTGGTGGCCTACAAAGATGGATCCCCTGCTCACACACATTTCATGGACTCAGAGCTCTGTTGTCAATACTGGCCCAAATGGCTGCTTCGACTAGAAAAATATACAGAAAGAGAAAAGAACCAAACCACTCCGAATCCAGACTAGGATATAGGATGATGTTCAAGCCCAGTTTACCCTTTCTCACAGTTTGGGGAAAAATATGCTTTAGTAATTTAGTGAATCCAGGATCTCATTGATGGAAGTACTCCCTCACCCCTTTACTAACTACTAAAATCTAAAAGTGGTAATGCTTAAATGTTGGATTTTTTTTTTTTAATGTTGATAATGGCTACCACATTATCACCAGCTAAGGGAACGCTGATTTTTAGGTGTGAAAACATGGCTCTCCAGTCAGTTCACTGAAACTGAAATGAATGAAAATCTAGACTTTTTAGTTGAAGAGCTATCCATCAATACAAGAAAAACCAGCTATATTACTTTGTCTTGTGTTAATAACACAATCATTATTTCTCTGAAAAGAAAGAAAATTGATTGAACAAAGACTTTAGTTAATCTTGGACTATGTTGTAAAATTTTTTATGTCATTTTCATTCTGAACATTAAAGGACTATATCCTAATGTACCCAGAATGTAGGAGCTCAAGAAGTCTTTGTTGATAGAGTTTAGTGAACAAAGCCTATGCCTAAGTAACATTTGTATTTTTCCCCAACTACCAATGACCACTAATAAAACTTGTAAATTTCGGGCTGTGTGTGATCTATTACATATGTGTGTGCATATGTATATATAAATGTGTATAAATATATACATATGTCTGCATATAAATGTACATATTATATATACTTCAGTGTATTCACTAGTAAATCACTGGGGCAGATCACAATCCATACATGCCTTTTCATCCTATGTAACTCTTGTCCACCAGTCAATTAATAAACATTTATCAAGTACCTGTCATATGCCAAACACTGTGCCAAGTGCTCAGGACACAAAAAGGGGCAAAAGACAGTCCCAGCCCTCAAAGAGCTTACAATCAAATGGGGTAGAAATCATGCAAAAAAGTATATACAAAGCAAGCTAAGTACAGGAGAAATAGGAAATAATTGACAGAGGGAAGACACTAGAATTGAGAAGGATTGGGAAAGGCTTCCTGTAATAGATAGGATTTTATGTTGGGACTTAAAGTAAACCAGGGAAGTCGGTACATGAAGTTGAAGGGAGCATTGCAGACATGGGGGACAGCCAGAGAAAATGCTTGGATCCAAGAGATGGAGTGTCTTGTACATAGATCAATTAAAAGGCCAGTGTCACTAGTTCAATGATAATTCTTCCATAGAATTGAGAGAGGATCCACCCAATGCACTGGAGGCCTTTCTCTAGATTTTTTTTTTATTTACTTTTTGTTAAATGATACATCCTGGAAAAATTATTGAAAAGGCTACTGGTTCAAATACTTATTTAATGAATAATGTGTACTCACTTTAAAAAAAAGTATGTTTGAAAACAATACCAAAATGGAGTTGCTTCTGAATTATCTATCCCACAAGTGTATGTTTCCTACACACATTCTAAAACATTTCCTTTGGCAATAGGCAAGGAGCTGTTCTAAGGACTGCTGCTGGTGCTCTTTTAAAGGAAAAATACCTTTATACTTATGGCTGGGGACTTTTGAGAAACTCTGCAACCTTTATACCTTAATATCCAAAAACTAACAAAAAAATGTCCAGTGCCTTGTTTTGTGTACAGTTTATATACAGAAAAGTTTGGGTCCACATTTTTTCTTCAGTATTTTTTTGGGTCTCCTTTAGCAAGGTGTTAACTGATTTTTCATGATTTTCTTGCATCACTCTCATTTCTCTTCCCAGTTTTTCCTCTACTTCTCTTAACTTGTTTCTCAAAAACTTTTTTGAGCTCTTCATGGCCTGGGACTGATTCATATTTTTTCTTGGAGGCTTTGGACGTAGGAGCTTTGACTTTGTTGTCTTCTGGTTGTATGTTTTGATCTTCTTTGTCACCAAAGAAAGATTCTATGGTCTGACTTTTTTTTGTGCTGTTTGCTCATGATCCCAGCCAATTACTCGAGTTATAAACTCTTTGTTAAGGTAGGGGTCTGCTTCCAGTGTGGAGAATGTACTGTAGCTATTTTCAGAGATACTTCCAGGGACTTGTAAGTTTTCAGTTCTTCCAAGGTGGTATGATCAACGACGAGGTGTTTACTCCTTTCCTGGCCTGTGCTGTGGTCTATGAGTGACCACAAGCACTCTTTTCTGCCTTGGAACCGTGAGGAGGATTCTGTCTCCACCACCACCACAAGCTCCACCATGCCAGCACTCCTCCTCGCCCCAGGACCGCCACTCAGAAGTGTGACCCAGATCCAAGCACAGGCAAAGCAAGAGAATCCTGCCTCAGCACCAGCAAAGAGATTCCCCCCTCTGATCAGCCACTCGATTTCCCCCTCAGACTGTGGGCCAGAAGCTCTGGGAGCAGCAGGGAGTGGGGCTGGGACCGAGCTTCTCTCTCACCACCATAGTCACAGACTTTTCCTACTGACCTTCTAAGTTGTCTTTGGTGTTTGTGGGTTGAGAAGTCTGGAAACCTCCACAGCTGCCTGTGATTCAGTCCTCTGAGGCCTGCTCCAGGTTCAATGAGGCCTGTTTTGCCTGCACACCCACACTGAACTGCCTTTCTCTTCCTGTAGGCACAATAGACCTTTCTAATCAACCATCCAGGTTTTCTTGGACTGGAAATTTGTTTCACTCTGTCTTTTTGTGGGTTCTGCTGCTCTAAAATTTATTTAGAGCCATTTTTTACAGGTATTTGGAGGGGTTTGGGGGAGGGCTCAAGCAAGTCACTGCTTTTACTCTGCCCCCGGGTCTGTATTTTTGAAGATGGTTTGGAAGAGTATCTACAACTTTACAATGATAGGAGTTTTTTAAAAATCTATAAGATACCAAAATAAGAGCTTCAGAATGAAACTTTGGCAAAGAAAAAAACAAAAAAATACTACTGGTCTCAAGGAAATCTAGATAGCAACTGTGGCCCTAGGAGCTCATCCTTTTGGGGTCAAATCTAGCATTTTTGTTTATAAGTCAGTTTTGCAAACATTTTAATAGGTACAAAATTAGAAACCACGCAGACATTCTCTAACCTGAATGGCTTCAATGACTAATATTGATTTGCCAATTAAAGGGAGGTTACCAAAGAAATATGAGCAAATTGTTCCGTGATCCTATTAGAACCTTACTTCTTAGAGCTCTAAATACACCCAGAAGGAAATAAATTGTTATGTCAATTTCATCACAAACTCACCTTTAGACATCGTCCTTTAATACCAGTATACAGTCCTATAAACTATAATCCTTTGAAGCCTCATGGTGGCGAACTGAGTTTTTTTTTTTAAATATGAGACCTTCATAGAATAATAATGTCTTTGCCAAAAAATGTCCTAAGAAAAAGATAAATTTCTATCTCTTTAAGTTTTTGGAAAACCCTTTCCTATAAAATCCTATCTACAATTGTTCATATAAATGGAATTTCTATATAGCTAATTCACAGCTTTTTTGGAGTTGGCACATTCATGTCATTGATTTGGGACACAGCCACCTCTATTAAGCATAGAATGAAAAAAAAAGCATAGAATGTGAGTTTTACAAAAGCTCACAAATTGGTAATTTGTGGCACTAGGAGCTTTATTTTCCATTTTTAAACACAGACTTTCCTGCAGGCCCGTTGGCTAGGCCGCTGTTATCATGCATGGCTTTATTTAAATCATGCTTCACATCCCATCCAGCCATCTATCCTGCTGGTATCCCACATCTCCCCACCTAGAATAGCATATCTAGACCAAACATCCCTGAGGGAGTTACCCACTCATCTGATATTCTCATGCCAAGCTGAGCTGTCTTGTTCCATGACTGAGTGAGTACATATCCAACTAGCCTACTTTTGTCTAGCCAATCCAGACCAGACTGCCTTCACATGCCATGCCATCCATCAGTCCATGCTGGCCATCTTGCCATCCACCCTATCCTGTGATCATCTCCTCTTTGCCTCTTGTTCAAATCAATTCTATTTTATTATCATTGTACCTTATTGATTTTCCTGTGGATCAACTCCTCCCCAGCCTATTTTTAGCCTGCCCAACTCCCCTAGATAAAATGGTCTTCCTTAATTAGAATAGAAGATCCTTGAAGGCAGAAACTGTCTCATTAGTATCTCATTAATATTCCTAATGCTTAGCAGGGTGCTTGGCATATAGTATGGACTTAAATAATTTTTCATTCATTTATTAGGATCTGGAGATATTTCTTTCTGTGAGTATATTATTATGCAGAGAAAAATTGCGATTTATGTCTTTCCAGTTAACTAATTTGCCTGTCAGATCCAAAAGTGGCAAAGATTGATGAATTCCTGCATTATGAAAATCAGAGCAGCTGCAGTTTATGGGACAGCTAGGTGTCATAGTGGATAGAGTGCCTGGCCTGAAGTCAGGAAGACTCATCTTCCTAGACAAGCCACTTAACCCTGTTTGCCTCAGTTTCATCATCTGTAAAATGAGCTGGAGCAAGAAATGGCAAACCACTCTACTATCTTTGCGAAGAAAACCCAAATAAGGTCCCAAAAAGTCAGACAACTGAAACGACTGCACAACAAAACAAGATTAACAAAGTTGCAGTTTACCTAGGCATGCCCTTGGCAGTCCAGTTCTTCAGAGGCCACACCTACTTTCAGTCCCTCATGATTAGGCAGGAGCCCTGTGAGGACAAGGGGAAATCAAGGGAATAGCCATGTTCTATAATTGCTTTGAGATGGGATTCTGAGAAGATAAAAATGAAAACTACAGCTGCCTTATGCAAATTAGATGGTAACAGCAGGGGCTTTAAGAGAAAAGACCAATTAGCTAAATGAAATTTAAAATGTAATTCTCACCATACTGATTAGGGCTAAACCATGAAGCTTAGAGGACAGAGAAGTTGGGCAAGAAAAGGTAGTCAGAAAGCTTACCTGCAGAAACCAATCATTGTAAATAAATGAGGGAATGTCAGAAGATGTATTTTTAGAGTGCCTTAAATCAATAAGGCCTTGTACCCAATACCAGAGGGCTCAAAAGAGCTCAGAAGGCTGGCTTAAATTCTACCTCTCTCACTTATTATCTAGGTCCCAGCTTTCTTCTTCCACCAAAAAAAAAGGTGGGGGGAGGGTATAGATCATCTACACTCTTAGTCTCTAAAGCTATGCTTTGAAGTGGACTCACAAGGTCTCACACAAGTGGGCAATGTCAGAGAGATGAGATTTGAACCTGGGTCTTCTGATTCTAGGTCCCTTACTTTTTCTAATGTACCCCTCTGCCTTCTCAGAGTGGGCACTCAAACAGTTATCAAATGAAGATGTTTCTCTGACTGTGCAGTCAGCAAAAATGTGTTTAAAATCAGTCAATAAACATTAAGAGCCTACTAGGTGCCAGGCACTGTGTTAAGCAGTAGAGATATGGGAAAAGAGATAAAAGGCAGTCTTTACCCAGAGGAGCTCACAGTCTAATGGGGAGGACCACATACAAACAACAATGATGTACAATCGATATGCAGGATAAATAGGAAATAACAGAGGGAAGGCACTACAATTAAGAGGGAATGGGAAAGGCTTCCTGTAGAGGACAGAATTTTAGTTGGGACTCAAAGGAAGCCACGGAAGCCAGGAAGTGGAGACGAGAAGGGGGAGCATTCCAGGCGTGGGGTGGGGGCAGA